TTGAGCAACCTGCTCTGGTGGGAGGTGTCCCTGCCCAGGGCAGGGCTTGGGGCTGGGTGAGCTCTAAGCTCCATTCCAACCCCTAAATTCCTGTGATTCTCTGAATCCAACCACACTGCTGGGCACACTGCTGCGATTTCAGCCTGAACATGTGTCATAAAGCCAATCTCAGCCAGGTAGGAGAAGGTTCAGCTATGGGTTTTACCCACAACTGATGGGCAAGTGAAGAATCCTCTCACCTCGTCTGAGCCTTCCTTGGGTTTCATGGGATTAGCATTGAGCAGCCCAATGACTGTGCCTTGGTCTGTCTTCCAGTGCTCCTTGTGGATGTCCCCGAAGAGGAAGAGTGAGACACACTGACTGAGGTCCCGGAGGTCGTTCAGCCGCCAGATGCTGAAGGTCCTGCCCTGGAACACACATTCCCTTTGCTCTGGGCTCTCAGGACAGGGACACCGACTACACCAGCCTCTCCTGCTGTCACTTCTCAAGAGCTGTTCTGATTTCCCCTACTGATTCAGAAAAGCACAACTGGCAGCCTCAGCTGAGCGTAGGGACAGTACCTCAGCCACGCTGTGCTGCCACCTCTGGGACTCTTAAAGGCCAAAGCAGCACAGCAATACTGCTACCCCCAGTCTTCCCAGCACTGGGGCTGGGCACACACCTGCTCAGTAAGTGTGGGGAATAAAACTTGGGTCTGTCCTGCCAGGGCTGAGGGAGAGGAGAGAGGGAATGGCCTTGAGCTGAGCCAGGGCAGAGTCAGATTGGGTGTGAGGAGAAATGTTTTCCCTGTTGTGGTGTTGAGGCCCTGGGATATTGCCCAGGGAGGTGGTGCAGTCACCATCCCTGGAGGTGTTTCAGAGGTGTCTGATGTGGCACTGGAGGATCTGGGTTAGGGTTTGGGGGTTCCAGCAGTGACAGGTTAAGGGTTGGACTCAGTGACCTTAGAGGTCTCCTCCAGCCTCGACAGTTGCACCAGGCAAGCTGAGGCCTACCCTGAGGACTAAAAGCAGCAGCGCTGCATGAAACCAGACAAGCCAAGAGCTTCAATAGAGAACCACCTGGAGTTGGCTGATTAAGCTGAAGAGCTAGTGAGTGTCTCAGGAAAAGAAGAGCAGCATGGCATTGGAACTGAGCAAGGGATACAGCAAAGTGGCTTACATTGTTTGCACTCTGTGGAGTGACCTTCTTCACAATGACCCCAAATGTGACCCAGTCTATCTCCTCCAGATTTTCTGCAGCAAGTTTGGTTTTCAGCTGGGAGAGTCGGATCAGCCTCCGGTTAGCCATTTTCCTGTCCATTTCAGCTGAGGACACTCGGGGCTTTCTGCACCAAAGACATGGAAAAGAGTCAGATGTGAGGAACAATGTTGTCCCTGTTGTGGTGTTGAGGCCCTGGGATATTGCCCAGGGAGGTGGTGCAGTCACCATCCCTGGAGGTGTTTCAGAGGTGTCTGATGTGGCACTGCAGGATCTGGGTTAGGGTTTGGGGGTTCCAGCAGGGACAGGTTCAGGGTTGGACTCGATGACCTTAGAGGTCTCCTCCAACCCTGATGGTTCTGTGAAAGAGAACATATCCATTGGCATAAATGGAGAATCAAGGTCACCCAGCACTCCTGGGGACACCACACCTTGCTGCAAAATGCCTCTGTGCCTTCCTTCACCCTGAGGTCACTTGAACCAAAACCCCTTGTTCAGGACACTGCAGGGATCACAAAGCTACTGATCACACTGGTTTTCTTGTCCAAGCAGCTGCACTGCACCTCAGCCCTGAGCCTGCACTGGCTCTGCTCATGTCAGAGTGACTGAGCACAGCTGGCTGAGTGGGAGCCCAGCATGGGCTCTGCTGAGACACTCTGAACATCCAGAGTCCTCCTGTGGCCACCGAGCACAGGGATGGCAAACCAGCTCTGGTGTGGAGATAACCTGCCCACCTGGAGCACAGCTGGGCCTTGTAGTGCCCACTGCTTCCCTGCTCCACCACGGGGGATGTAACAGGGCAGGCAGAGCTGGGAAAATCACAGCTTTTTTGTCAGGAAAGAGCAAAGGTGAGAACAGAAACATGAGACTCAGCCAAAACATCACCTAACTACTGGCCAACCAGTGCTGTGACTCGGTGTTACAGCCCTCAGTGGCACTGACTAATCTGACGTGGTGACACCACTGTGTTTTCTCTCCCCTCACAGAGAACTGTCCCCAGACAGAGCTCAGACTGGTTGCTGACCTTATTCTCAGTCCCAGGAAGGTTTCCACAGGCTCTGCCTGAGTTGTGGCACTGGAGCAGTTAGGCACAGGGGAAGTCTTGTCTCTGGTCACCTTGCTGGGTGTGTTCCCCAGGGGCTGGAATGCCAGGCTGAGGACTTGCTGTGGAGGAGGAGTCTTGTTCTCTTTGGCAGGGAAAAAGAGCACAGCACCCATTACAAACAGCACAATCACAAACTGCAATAAGTTCTGTGCTCTCAGCAAGTGCCCAGTGTGTTCCAGTGAAAGGCAGGGCCTGGTACCTGCTGAGGAGGCTTTGGATTTCTGGATTCTTCGCTTGGCTGGAGGGAAAGGACTGTCCAGCTGGGCTGAGAAACACGGGGACTCCTGTAGCTTCTGCACTTTCCTTTTCTTCAAGGGTGGACAGGGAGATTTACCTGGCCAAGGGAACAAAAAGCTGTGAGATCTCAGGGTATGGACTCCTAAGGCCAAGAAGTCATCAACCCTTCAATTAGCCTCATTACCAGGGGCTTTCCTCTCCAGGCCTGGGCTGGGTGGCTGCTCAATGGCAGTCTTCTGCAGCCGCTCCTGCAACGTCTTCATCTGCTCCTGCAACTTCTGCAGCTCAGCTAGGGAAGGAAGGAGAAAAAAAGGATACTAATGGAAGCAGCAGGAAAGCATTGCCAACAGGGATTTAGGAGGTCCCTGGGTATCTGGCAGTTCTACTACATCATGGGAACTTAGAAAACTAAGACTTGGGCCACAGCACAGATTAACTAGACTGTACAGAGCTCACAGTGAAGGGACACCTGTCCACACAGCCAGAGCTGGCTGCTCTCCTACAAATACATCACTGGTCACGGAGTGCTCCCTGCCATGCTGCACACAACTCTCCTGCCATCACAAGACAACATAAATGGCTGATGAGTGCACTCCTCAGGTTAAAGAAACGCTCCTGCTATCACCAAATATGTGGGCTGGACACGGGAAAGCTCAGTGACCACAGTGACAGTGTCCAGCTCTACTTCCACACTGGCTGCTACGGCAGAACCTCCTGCCCCTGAGCCCTGGGGGGCAGGGGCTGCTGTGCTGGTGAGAGGTGCAGGATGACATTGCTCTTCATCAGACAAGGCACAGGGATGTGGGCAACCTTCCTATCCTGCTCACCAGAGCCGGTTTGGTCTCCCTGGATGACTCTGTGCCGCTTTAGGGAGGACAGGTTTGGTGAGTTTGGCCACTGAGCACTGAAAACTGAACTTAGCTTTCACTGTGTTCCCCCTCTGGGCACCATCGTAGTGTAAGAAGCAGCAGGCCCTGCCTTCTGCTCATTAGCCCTCTGGAGGCAAAAGGTATCCCACAGAACAGATCGAAGACACTGCGACACAAACCTTGCAGCTCCTGGTTGGTTTTCTCCTTTGCCTCACTGGGAGCTGACATGGGGACAACTTCCTCTGCCTCCTCCTCCTGCAGCAGGTCATCCACATCTCCAAACAGCACGGCCAGGTTCTCCTTCTGCTCATCAGTCATGCTGTCCTCATCATCCAGCCCCTCAGTGTAGGATCCATCATCTTCTGCATCGAAGAGCTCATCATATTCATCTGGCTCTCCTCCTTCCTCCTCTGGAGCATCCTCCTCCTCCTCCTCAGGAAGATTCCCCTCCTTGGTTTCTTCGCCCTCCTCCAGGAGGGAGGCCAACAGGTCCAAGTCATCATCAGCTAGGGTGAGAATTAAACCCAGAGTTATTTCTGCCCAGCTAGAGGAAAGCTGCCAATCAAACATCCAAGATACTCCAACTACAAACTAATGACAACCACAACTAACTCAGAGCAGCAAGCTCAGAGTGGCACCTTTACAAACACACTTCAGCTTTGGCTCAAGGGAGACAGAGCAGCTTTCTGCTGCCAGGTGGGACAACATGTGGCTGCAGACTCAGCCAGGCAGCAGAGAACCTCCCAGCTACTCAGCACTGGCTTCTCCTCCTGTGCAGCTGCTTTCCAACAGCTGCTGTCAGGCAGAAAAGCCTGGAACCTGTACAGGTGTAGCCAACACAGACACCTATGTGGCTTTTCCCAGTGGAAAGGGAAGATGCAAGGCAGAAAACAAAGCATATTCTGACATCGTTTGCTCAAGGAGGAACATGAAGAAGAAAGAAATGCAGAGCAAAAAGACAAATAATGGGAAAAAGACACCCAAGGACAGAGAGAATGGAACAGACAAAGCAGAACTGAAACCCTGAACAAACTCAGAAACTGGTTTAGGCTTTGCTGCTGAGCAAAACAGCAGCCCAGGGAAGAACAGAGATTCTTAAGGAAAATGAGAAGAATGAAGGCAAAGGCAATCTCAAAGGCCTCTGCAAGCGAAGTTAGGGCAGCGTCATGTCCTTTGCTACAAGCTTTGCCAAGGCTTCTGAACACACTGATCAGAAGAGAAGTTTCTTACTGGAAGCAAAAGATTATTTCCCCCTTACCATCCATGATTTCACTGAGGTTCCTTTCAGGAGTGTTCCAAGGGATTTCACTGGGATTCCTTCAGGAGTGCTCCAAGGAAAACGACTCTCTGTTACAGGGAGAGCAACAGTGACACTGTTAAGAGTACACACAGCCCATCTAGAAACACGTTGTGTTCAGACTCTTCACTTGATGATGTGCAAACCCCCAGCTTGGCTTTGTTTCCAGCTGCTGTGAGGACTCCACCAAATGCAAACCCCTCACACACAGTTCCCACATCCAAGGTCTGAACCATGCTGAACCCTCTGCACCATAAGGG